AAAAAAAACTTGTGAAATTGAAAGAGTTAAAAGTGGAATTTCATAGGACAAAAAAATTTAGAAACCTAATATTATTTTACTTAAAATTAGTTTTCTAATTATATTTTAAGAGACTAATATATGATATAATTTCCCCCTTGAATAAATTTAAAATCAATATTGACTCAAATCCCACAAAACTAGAGCTAGATTTTTATTTTTAATTTAAAAGGCGATTTAGATAAGAACAAGTGAAACTGGTAGGGCTTAAGATTTTGACGAAAACAAAGCAGTGACAGATCCGCAGAGCAGTTCGACAGTAATGGCCAAGGAACAAGCTACGACCGATCTCATCTCTGATTTCCTCTCATTCCTCAATGCTTCTCCCACCGCTTTTCATGCAGTCGGTAAGCTTCGATTAGACATCTCTTTCACATTCGTTTCGTGGTGTTGGAATCTCTTGTCGACAAGTACTTTTGCTTTGAAACAATCGATTGATGTTGTAGATGAGTCAAAGAGGCGCCTGCGAAAAGCTGGGTATGAACAGGTTTCGGAGAAAGCTGATTGGAAACTCGAGGCCGGCAAAAAATATTTCTTCACAAGAAACTACTCCACTATTGTTGCTTTTGCTATTGGTCAAAAGTATGATTTTCCCATTCTTCTCTCTGTATCCAAATTCCATTGTAATTGAAACCCATGATTCGATTAAAAATGCACTTACTCTTGTTGTTAAAAATGTTCAATCTTTGGATTTTGTGAACAGATACGTAGCTGGAAATGGATTCCATATAATAGGTGCTCACACTGACAGCCCTTGCCTGAAACTGAAGCCTGTCTCAAAGGTAACTTTGGATTTCGGTTTCAATTCGCATATTCCTGTGAATCTTACTTTTGGTTGGAAAATGGTTGGTGTTGTCAGATAACCAAAGGTGGATTCTTGGAGGTTGGTGTTCAAACATACGGAGGCGGGCTGTGGTACACCTGGTTTGATCGTGACTTGACTGTTGCAGGCCGTGTTATTCTAAAAGAAGACAAGGCAGGTTCCGTCTCATATTCTCATCGGCTAGTCAGGATTGAGGATCCGATAATGAGGATTCCTACTTTGGCCATCCACTTGGACAGGTTACCTTCAAATAACTTATTCGTAGTCGTATAGTTCTTAGACTTGTTATTGTATTTGTGATAAGCAGACTATATATGTTTTGCCACTTGCTTTATTTAGAGAACTTAACTTAAGACTTTTCTATGTTTCCTTATGTCTTACAAACAGGAATGTGAACAGTGAAGGTTTTAAGCCAAACACTCAGACACACCTAGTTCCAGTACTGGCAACAGCTATCAAGGTGCTCTTCCAATGCTTGCTATTTTTGCTCTGAACAAACAACATTACTTAAATGAGACAATTGTTACAGTCACATGGAAGCCATAGTATTTTATTTCTTTCTTAATTCCACTGCTAAATTTCCTTCATTCCGTGCTGCTAAAGCCTTTGCTTTCATATCAACCATTTGCTGAGATCAGAAGCCATCTTTTTAACTTTTGGTAGATTTATCCATATGTCAACAACATTGTATAAAGTTTGCAGCAGGCGTGAAATCTTGGTCTTTTTTTAATGTTGTGTGATATATTTTTGAAGGCGGAGCTCAATAGAATGCTAGCAGAAGGTGGTGAGCATGATGGAGGAAAGAAGGATACTGAGACTAGTTCAAAATCAAAGCATCACCCGCTACTACTGGAGGTAGGTCCGGTTTAAATATAAAATTTATGGTTCCAGCTTTTTTTGTTCTGGTTTAATAATCAAGTAGTCGTTTTCTTCTTTCTTAGATCATTGCAAACGCGCTGGGTTGTAAACCTGAGGAGATATGTGATTTTGAGCTGCAAGCATGTGACACTCAGCCAAGCATTCTAGCTGGTGCAGCAAAAGAATTTATCTTCTCGGGAAGGCTAGATAATCTATGCATGTCGTTTTGCTCTCTGAAGGTATGTCATTTTACTTATTGTTCTTTTGGAGGAGAATATGGACTAGAATTCCTGAACTCTGCCGCGCATTAGATGGCTCACATTCGCTGCATGTTCTTTACATCTTAAAAGCTTGTATCGAGTCCAATATAATTTGTTGTCTACCATGTAGACGTGTGTTTACAAGCATGCTAACTCACATTCAGTGTAAGTTTTGTTCTGGATCACATCTTAAGTAGAGTATCTTTAACAAATTGTTCTCCTCGATGGATTTTGCACCCAGTGACTAACATTATCAGTAAACATCTTTTGGGTTCTGGGTTTATCTGTCTGAAACACATATATCTTCTTTGTATCTAATCCCAAGTATTTGCTGCAATACATATTTGAACTTGGTACATAGGCGCTTATAGATGCAACATCTTCTGGAAGTGACCTAGAGGAAGAAAGTGGAGTAAGAATGGTGGCATTATTTGATCACGAGGAAGTTGGTTCCAATTCAGCGCAAGGAGCTGGATCCCCTGTCATGATTGATGCTATGTCACACATCACAAGTTGCTTCAGCTCTGACACTAAGGTAGCAACCATTCAAATATCAAACATTTAAACTGGGATTGTGTACACTTTATAATCTTGGTATCTTGTCACTTGTTATAGTTCACCAGTCACTATCGTTTACTGGTTACAGGTGCTCAAGAAAGCAATTCAAAAAAGTTTGCTTGTCTCTGCTGACATGGCACATGCTTTACATCCAAACTTTATGGTAAACAGAATATGCTGAGTAAAATCTTTTTCATGTAAAACCGGCAATCATTTCATTCGGCAATATTTTTTTCATTTTCATGCACATAAGTTTAAGAAGTCTCTCCGTCATTGCATTATGATTTCTTTTTCTGTAGGACAAACACGAAGAGAATCATCAGCCGAAGATGCATGGAGGGCTTGTCATCAAACACAACGCAAATCAACGTTATGCAACCAATGCTGTAACTTCGTTTGTATTCAGAGAGATAGCGGAGAAGCATAATCTGCCTGTTCAGGTATAATTGGCCTCAGAGAGATCCAGAAGATGTTCTTACTAACACATTATAAACGAGTATTGTCATGTAAAATTGCAGGATTTTGTGGTACGTAATGACATGGGATGTGGATCGACCATTGGTCCAATCCTAGCAAGCAGTGTGGGGATAAGAACGGTTGATGTGGGAGCTCCTCAGCTCTCGATGCATAGCATCCGTGAGATGTGTGCCGCAGATGACGTGAAGCATTCGTATGAACACTTTAAAGCTTTCTTCCAAGAGTTCACTCTCCTCGACACCAAACTCAGTGTCGACGTTTGAGAGCTTCTTAATCTTAATTGCCATTTAAGTTGGCACTGAAAAGCTATTTATCCTTGCGTTAGGAATTGGTGTTTACAGTAGTAATAAAAGGATTAACAAGTGTTGCTTGCGGTTACAATCTTTACACAATTTTTATTTATTTTCTGTGGTGTAACTAACTTTACAAAGCTAAAACTTATCAAAAATTACCAGGAAAGAATAATTTTTAACTTATAAATTAATCAATTCGATCAGTTTCATGCCCACTCCCCCCACACCTATTGGTTTAAAGGTTTGAATGTTGCTTAATTTTACTGTAATTATGTAAATTTTTATTCATCTGACAATGCCAGTCACAAACAAGTAACCTTGGTGAAACACTGCAGCAAAATGTTGCTCACAAGACAAAAGGCATTCCGGGGGAACAAAAAGCTCAGGAGAGTTATTAAGAAACAAAACAAGGCAGAAAGAGAGATCCCACACTCATGCCAATTTCAGTTTCATGTAGACACAACCTTCTTCACCACTTTCATAACCTCTTCCGGAGCCTTCTCTGCTGGAATGTTCACCAGGTTTCCCTTCTTCGCGTAGTAGTCAATTACCTT